TGATCGATGATTATCTCTCATCATTGATGTTTCTATCTCTCCCTCTGAAATCAATAAAAAAATATATATATTTTTTTAAAAAAAGAAGTATTGCTTAAGGAGGCTTGTCGAAGTGTTGAAAACTAGAAATGGAAAATTTCCAGGCACTGGTATGATTATGGATAGATGGTCTCTTCCTGCTTCTATCAGCATTTGCTCCTAACTCAACATCGGCAATATGTCATGCTTGACTGAGGAGGGGGAAGGGCAGTTGGGGGAAGAGAAGAAGGGAGAAAGAGGAGGGGAGAAGGAAAAACCAGTTACTGCCCTAACAATACTACTGTGTGGGTGAAGCCAGATCAAATGTTTTTTTTCATACTGTTCCAAAGTTATTTACGGTAAAAACCTCCAGTGTGTCCCTTTTAGGCACAAACAAAGCCTTGTTCTTTCTTAACAACTAGTCCCTTGACTTCCCACACGTTATGTAGAACAATGAGGTCCAGCACAGGATAAAGCAGATGACATCAACCTCCCTCAAGTCAGAGATTTGTTTGGGAGCCCAAATTCTGGTTTGTGGCCAGCTGGCTCATTTTACAGAGGGCTCTACTGTCCAAGCTGCTAGGTTGCGTAAGCGTATGGGGGCAATGGCTCAGGATCAACCACCAGTCAGCAATTCACACAAGAAACAGCATAGAAGACACCGCACCCCACTAGATTACCTCTATAAATCTGTTCCATTTCCCTAGAAACTGGATTCAGTGTTCAGATGTCATAAAAAAAGATATGGCATACAATTTCAAATTCTAAGCAGCTCCCTTTCTCTAGATTGGTTCAAAACAGATATGACTGTGGATAACTAACTGTTCACTGAATAGGAGAGATTTAAATGATGTATCATACCATGTAGTTTTTATGGAGAAGAAAACACAGTCAGGTTTTAATTTAAAACTAGACATGTTGGATACAGTACGGAAAGAAACTAGATTTTAATACTATTGAATGCTAATGTACCAATCACCCTTCTGTACTAAACCACCTATTTATTGACCTGTTTCTAACCCATTGGACAACAGTCACAGCAAATATAAATTTGAAAGAGACATAGCTTTCCCAACAGAAAAAGATCAGCCCTCAGTACAGACACCGATAGTAATAAGCTGAAATATAACTGTTCCAAATAAAATCATCTCAAAATTATAGTGCATGCGCACACACAAACGTCTTTTATCTTTTCACACAGATTTTAGCAGAGGGACAGGGGCTTAATAAGCCAATGGTTTCTCAACTGCCAAGAAGCTTCTTGATAATTTTTAGGCTTAAATTGTGATAGGCCTGTAACTCAAGGCTGAACTCTTCAAATGATCTATTTAGCTTTCTCATCTATAAGCTAGTTAGGAAAGATAGGGACCATAATTGAGTAAATATCTAAACTTAAAAATCTCATTTAGCAAAGTGAATTGTTAATTTTCTCTCTTGAAAAATGACAATGAAAAAAATGTAGACCAATTAGATTATTTGGAAGAGGCTCAACAAGTATAAATGACTTAAATTATTACCATTGGGCTTTTCTTTCCTTTCTGGTGATGATTATGACAGCTCCTCAGAGTTGCCTTTTCTCTTTCTGTAATTTATTTCCAAAATATAAATCACCCTTAGACAACAACTCATCTCATCCCCTAAAATTAATTCATCCTCCATTTTCCACTATTAACAAGCACCCTAAATAATAAATGATACAGGAGCCTATTAAACTATGATGGTATCATCTAGCCTTAATGAAATGTGATTTCCAATTCAAAATCAAAAGAGATGAGATTCTGACCACACAACAATACTCTTTATGCCATCAATCATTCCCTAGCTCTATCACTTGATTTTTCAGTATAGTACTTAATCACTACCTATTATGTGTATTTGTTAAGTTGTTTTTTCTCTGTTCTCCACCAGAGTTCAAGGACCTTGTTTGATGTTCATTTCCATATCCCCAGCTAGGTCTGGAATATACTAAATATTAAATATTTACTGAGTGAATGGAAGAATCACAAACAAAATACTCAGAATTCCTCCCATTAAAATACTCTTTAACTGGTCGCTACAATGATATATGACTGGGAAGTCAGATTAGCAAGTCAATTATCATTCAAGAGAGAAGAGTACTAATTATCTATGGCCTACCATAATGAGCCCTGTGCAATAAAGAACACATCTCAATAAGTCCTTCTATCAATTCTTTGAGATCTATCATCCCCATCTTATAGATAAGGGCCCAAGGAAAGGGTTAAGTAAATCCCCCAAGACCATGCACCCTGTAAGTGGTGAACTGGGATTTAAACTCAAAACTGTCTGACTCCAGGTCCAGTCTCTTTCCAATGTACCACATAGCTCCTCAGTAACACTAAGATATTTAACTTAGTTGTACAATAATGCATATATAATACATTAAACTGAGGACTCAAAGGTGAATAAGACAGTAAGGAGTTCACAAAGTAAGCACCATACTACATGAAAAGTGCCTTACCAAACAGGATGTAATGGGAGCAAACAGGAGGGGAGTATGGGCAAAGACTGGTCCAAATTAAGAGAACATTGTATTCAAATAACTGTAAGGTGTTCAGTACGGCTAGAGTTGGGAGTGGGAGGAGGAAGTGAAGAGAAAGGGAGAAGGAAAGATCAGAGATGAGGCTAGGATAGTGACAATTCATTCATGTTCATTTATCCCTTACACCGAAGCCCTAATATATGCCAGGCACTGTATTAGACACAAGCATTTCAATGATGAATGAGATAGTCTCTGCTCAAGGAGCTTTTAGTCTATGAGGAGATGGGTAAACACACAGTACAACATAGAGTGACATATGATAACACTGATGTATTTATTGGACATTAAGGTGCTCTTTGACAGGAAGAAAGTGGATTAGACAGCTCAATCAAGGCACTATATTCTAAGAGAGACTGCTTCATTCAGAGCAACAGCTAAATGCCAATCCCAGTTGACCAGGTTTTGCACTACACAAAGTCTCCAGTTCTCCTAACCTCAACCCAAACTCCTGCTGCTTGAACCAGAGATGGACATATGACCAAAGAGAAGACCCAGAATGTGGCCTGGCATAAAAGGAGCCGAACCAATCAGATTTTTACGTTCAGGGGCTGCATTTCAGAAGTTGAATGATGCACAGAGAGAATCACTGAGGCAGAGTCTGGTCCACAAGTGGTCAAAATTTAAGAGAAAGCACAACTGAGCAAACAGATACTATGAAAAAGGTGGCAAACTGTGATAAAGAGCTGGATCAAACCCACACATGTATTCTGTGGCCTACATAGTATATTAAAATTTTAAAAATAATACCCAGCTTGTGGTCTCTAAAATACCACTCCTCACAAAAAGGAACCAGAACTCCTTGGAGGAAAAGCTGCCTCCAGATCAGGGGTTGGACATACAAAAGATGCGCCTAGGACACCTTACTGTCCCACAAAACAGTGAAGCTATCAAAACCTTATGCCAGGGATTATGTCAAAAGGATAAGGGAGCCAGAGACATAACGAATGCAACTGACTAAACCAATGACTCTAAAAACTGAAACAAACAAAAAATAATTTCAGAATAATAGTTAACCCTCTGGACTACACTGGAAATGACAAGGGCAAGAATGCCTTACTCTGAAAAATGTCAATTAAAAGAACTGAATTCTGCCCTGGCCCGTTGCTCAACGGTTAGAGCATCAGCCAGTGTACTGAAAGATCTCGGGTTCAATTCCCAGCCAAGGGCATGTACCTCAGTTGCAGGTTCGATCCCCAGGCCTGGATGGGGGGGAGGGGGGGGCAAGCGGAAGGCAACCAATTGATGTGTCTCTCTCACATCACTGTTTCTCTCTCTCTCCCCTCCCTTCTATTCTCTCTAAAAAAGAAACATCTTTGGATGAGGATTAAAAAACAGAAATTAAGTCTATTTTTCCTACCTTTCCTATATGAATTATAAATTTTCGGCTAACCAAGTGGTCTTAAATTCTTTAAGAATAATTCCAGCCAATAAATATGGAAGGAATAACAGAATTAGAAAATAATTTCATAACTTTAATGAAACAATAAATTCATACAAGTCATCAATGGACTCATAAAGAGAAAAATTAATGGGAAGCTTTATAATGGAGGCTTCAGGGCACTACCATCTCAGTAGGCAGAATAATGGCATCCCCTGCCCTCCCACACCACCCAAAATGTCCACATCTGCCCAGTGTGGTTCAGTGGCTGAGCGCCAACCTATGAACCAGCAGGTCACACAGTTCAATCTCCAGTCAGGGCACATGCCTGGGTTTCCAGCTCAATCCCAGTAGGAAGCGTACAGGAGGCAGCTGATCAATGATTCTCTCTCATCATTGATGTTTCCATCTCTCTTTTCCTCTCCCTTCCTCTCTGAAATCAATAAAAATATATTTGAAAAAATCTTGTGAGGTGTGATTATAGCTGCATAACATTGTGATTTTGTTCATAGTTTTAAGAAATTCATGCAGCAGTATGCAGGACTGAAATCCATGATATCTGGGATTTATTTTTAAATAATTCAGCATAAAATGAGAATGGGGAAGCAATTACAATGAAAAAAGTGTGGCAAGATCCTATTGATTGGTGAATCTGGTTATTGGGTATATGGTCAACTGACTGTGCTCTTCTCCATAAAACTGAAAACAAATAATGCCAAAACCAATTTGAATTAAATGGTGACATTTAAAAATCAGAGGCTTGAATTTCTGACTTTGTTTGAATAATCAATACGGCAACAAGACCCATATCAAGAAATGAGTACTGACCACTCCAAATTAAGTTTCCAATACTCCCAATTATCCCCCAATTATCATCACTGCTGTCCTTTTTCTTATACCTGGCTTAGTTCATGCATTTATGTTACCTACTTGACAACTCGGTTTAGGACCCCAGGAGTGATGAGAAGCAAGAGAACAGAGCAGGCATGGGGAGATAAACTGAATCATGGCAAAGTGCTAGCATATAGATATACAGACTCCTACTGTTGACGTTCCTTCAGCAGCTTTGGACATAGATATAATTCCCCTAAGGCCATGCTGCACCATACTTCTTATATTTATTAAGTGCTTACTAGAAGCAAGGCAGTATGCTTGACATTCTGAAAAATACAAACATGAAAATAATTCCTGCCCTCAGGATACTAACAGTCTAATAAGGAAGACAAGGTATAAACGTAAGTGGTTACAATGTAAGATGAAAATAAGTGAGTTTAGGATACTGATCAGGGTGCCACATATGTAAAATGCAAAGTATGGAGTGACCAAGTATATAAAACTTCAGGAACAGATCATGAAGTCACTACAGGGCATGTTGGAAAATTGAAACTTTATCAGATGAGCTGCTGAAGGATTTTAAGACATAATTACAAGTCAGATGGGGCAGCACTGCAAGTGAGAGGGAAGTCTCCTTCACCGTTCAAATCCTCTGATTCTAGGCACAGCATTTGTTGAAGAGCCAGAAGCATGACCCCCAAAATGTTTCGCCATCATGGCTTTCTTGGCTAGACATTAGTTTGGTACCTGCGGAGCCTAATAAAAGGATGGGTCACTGAGCAGTAGCCCTGAAAACAGTTTCTCTCTCTATTACCACGACTGGGTTCCAATACCTTACACAGAAACTATGGTCCTCTTATACCTAAGTGCTATTAAAAAGTAAAAATGAGGGGAGGGTGGGAGTAAGGGGGAGAGATCAACTAAAGGACTTATATGCAAGCATATAGGCCTAACCAATGGACACAGACAACAGGGGGGTGAGGGCAGGAGTGGGGGGGGGGGAAGATGGGGGGTAACGTGGGGATGAGGACACATATGTAATAACTTAATCAATAAAAAAATTTTTAAAAAAGTAAAAATGTTTCTTACTATTCAGTCTAAGACCCATTCTGTTAAAAACAAAAATAAAACCACGTGCTTACTGTGAGTGAATAAAATGACCTCAAACGCAATCAATCTTAATACCAAATTACATGAGCGTTTCAAAGCTCACACTCCGGTCACCCTAATGACAAAACGGGACCCAGCCAGCGTCGTGGCGGGAGCTGTCACCACCTGAGAGAGTAGGGCTGAGATTCACAATAGGCCTGGCCGGGCCCAGACTCTGGGGAGCCAGGAAGGACAGCCCTGGAAGCCGAGACCATCGGATGGACGGTCTCAGTTTTAACCGACTAAATTGTCGTCAATTACAGGAAGGACAAATAAAAAGCAAGGCGAGAACAAGATTCCAGCACTTTTCTTTCCCGTCACTTCCAAACCAAGAATCAGTTGCAGCCCCGGCATCCTCTCCGGGCCTCGGTGTCCTTAGGTGGGAAATGACGCTAATGCACCCGCTTCACAGAGGAGCGTCCGGACCACACGGAGATGTACGTAAAAGCACAAGATCGGACACAGCTAACGCTCAATAAACACCCGGTTTCATTATTCCCAGGAAGCGCCAATGCCTCCATCATCTTCCTTACAAGGGTGATACCTAATTCTACCTCCACTATCGAGCGGGCTCTGCAGGTCTCAGTGTCTTTGTGTCGATCCCCGCAAGTACCCAACATCTGAAGGCTTCTCTGGAGAATCGAGTTACAGTTCAAGGTACCAGCGACCAAAACAGACACGGGCCCCGCCAACGACCGAAGTGGGGGTCGCCCCGGCTCGGCGGTCACCACATCCGCCGAGGCCTCGCGCCCTTCTCCGGGTTCCCCCACCTTGGCGCCCGGCCCCGCTCCGCCAACGCCAATCAGCAGGGCGAGGGGGCGGACTCCACCGCCCGCCCTTTGCGCTCCGGGGAGGCCAGGCCGGACACCCCCCACCCGCATCCTCGGCCTCTCCTCGCCAACGCCCGAGGTCTTCCCGTCCCGCCCCGCCCTGGGCCGCACCTTGAGGTGGGTGCGCAGGCCGCCAGCGCCCCCAGACTGGTCGGTGATCTCGTACGCGCCCGTCACCAGCAGGTCCTTGTGGATCTCCTCGCGGAGGCACTTGCGGGAGTTGATGGGCAGATGGAAGGAGATGGCGAGAACCGAACTGGGGCCGAGCAGGAGAGGTAAAAGCAGCAATGCTAACTGGCAAGGGCCACGCTGGACTTGTAGGCCAGACAAACGAGACATGGTGCCGGAGACTGTTAACACCGGGGCCTCGGTCGCGGCGGAACCGGAGGGCCCACGTGACTCACCTTTGGCCTACCGGCGGCGCAGGCGCCATTTTGGAGACTGGCAAATAGACAAAAAACATATAGTAAATCTTATAAAAGGGAAAAAAGAATATGATGCCACGCCACACCAACAAGTTAGAATGGCTAAATAAAATTTTCTAGAAATTTTCCGGGAAACTTACTTGTGTTGAGTTCAGTGACTGTTCAGTCAGCCATAACAAGTAAGGGCAGACCCGGAAGTAATTCTCCTTCAACTGGCGGAAGCAGTGCTTGCAAGTTTTAAGGCGGGTGCGATACCATAGCAACCGAGGCCCAATAGGAAACAGCCACAAGGCCCTTTGCTGGACCGGTCGGGCTGCCACCGGGGCGCGCGAGGCGGAGGGTGCGCAGTCGCAGTGCAAAGCCGCCTGAATGACAACCGGGACATTGACCGCTTGAGAGGAAAACTTGAGAGGAAAACTTGGGGAGGCTGAGCGGAAAGACTCCATGGCTCCGAGGCGAGCGGGGGCCGGCGCCTCAGAGAAGGTCTGGAGGTGAACCGGGCGGGCGGCCCGTTCAGGCTCCTGAGTGGGATATTTGGGCTGGCGTAACTGTTTGCTTTCTGAATGTGCATCTTATTTAGCAAACGTTGAGCGCCCACTAGACTAGGTAATGTTCAAACTGACTTTGGGTTTTGTATTTCAATGGAATAAAACACTGTTTTAATCCAGTCTCAGAGCAGGACCTAATTCGGTTTACCAGAGGAGCATTGTCAAGGGAAGGCAAGAATTTGTGTGTTTTAAACGCACACACATTTTAGGGACCCAAGGGGCTAGTCTGTAGTAAGCAAATTTACACAGTAATCGTGCTTTTGTTTCACAATTATTTACTGAGTACCTGCTATGTGCCAGACGCTATATATCCTGTGGTGTATACCAATATGTTTATTGATTGAACAAACCGCTGTTGGGATGCTATCAGATATTCAGGACCGAAGAAAATATAAAGATGAAAAAGGAATACACACCAGTCTGTGTTTGAAATCATCTACTTTGGTTAGTGTTTACTGAGTATCTACAGAAATACCCAGAGTATGGACTGTCTGCTCTTGGTAATTTTTAAAAATATATATATTTTATTGACTTCTTACAGAAAGGAAGGGAGCGGGATAGAGAGTTAGAAACATCGATGAGAGAGAAACATCGATCAGCTACCTCCTGCACACACCCCACTGGGGATGTGCCTGCAACCAAGGTACATGCCCTTGACCGGAATCGAACCTGGGACCTTTCAGTCCGCAGGCTGACGCTCTATCCACTGAGCCAAACTGGTCAGGGCTGCTCTTGGTAACTTAAATGATTATTCTTTATTTATAACTGCTTGCAATCCATGTAGTTCTTTTCCTGGAACCGAAGTCCCACAAACAAAACAAGAACAAACATAAAGGAGCAATAAAGCATTTTAAAATCTGACAAATAACATGCTACAGCTATTTTATGAGGTGTCCACTTAGGAACGTTTAGTTTATTTTATTCCTGATCTAAGATAAGATTGCTAGTCTACTGGTACGTCCTGATAATCTTCTGATAATTTTCGTTGGTCTTTCCCCTGCAGTGTAGGGAATCGGTACCAAGCAGCTATGTAATTCGTCATTTGGAATCAGTCCTGAGGCTCTGCTGACCATCAGCAAGAGATATGCAGCCCATAAACTAGCTGTGTGGTTTTTTCCTTTAAATTTCTATCTGACATTTAGATAAGAACCTCTACATTTTCAGCTGTTTTCACAGATCTCATTTGATATTTTCAAAAACCATGTGACATAGACTGGACAAGTCTGTTCATGTCATAGATAAGAAAACAGGTTCAGAGAAGCCAAAGAGATTCTGAGAGGCTCAAAGTTTAAAAGTGACAAAGTCAGTCTAAGGGCCTGAGCCTTCTTCGGGAAGGCGTTATTATTTATTATGTTACAGATGAAGAAATTGAGACTTAGAGAGAAATTCTTACTTTCCTAAATCACAGGTCTCATCCTTTCTTGTCCTGTATTCTCCCTCATCCGCCAGTCCCTAACTCTTTCCTACCCCCCTTCCCTCATTTATATTTTTCTCCTTAGTGCTCACCACTAACATAATATACATTTTACATATCATGTTTATGAATCTGTTTCCCTAGCTAGGTTATCTGTTTTGTGAGGGGCAGGTATTTTTATCTATTTTGTTCATTGCTTTATCTTCTGAATCTAAAATAGTGCCTGGCATTTAGAAGGCAAAATGAACAGTGGTTCAATGAATGCAAGATTGATTCCTTAGCTCCTAGCACAGTGATGGCGAACCTATGACGGGTGTCAGAGGTGACACGCGAACTCATTTTTTTGGTTGATTTTTCTTTGTTAAATGGCATTTAAATATATAAAATAAATATCAAAAATGTAAGTCTTTGTTTTACTATGGTTGCAAATATCAAAAAATTTCTATATGTGACACGGCACCAGAGTTAAGTTAGGGTTTTTCAAAATGCTGACACGCCGAGCTCAAAAGGTTCACCATCACTGTCCTAGCAGAAGGCCTAACAGCAAATTCCTTACATTATTCCTTAGCTGTTTTCACACAAATCCGTAATGTATATAAAGTGAGGTCTCAGTTTCATCAACAACATGCATATCTTGTATTTGAATTGAAAAATGTGTTCTTGTTTTCATATAAAGACAGAAAAAAAAATCTCCCCTCTATGCTGTGTAACTACAAGGCTAAGTAGATACTCCTGGGGAACCCAAATTTTTAAATTGCATCTGCATGAACAATGTACCATTTTACATCACTGTGGAGAAACGGCCTCATTCTGAACTGAAGAGCAAACGGAAAGTGTCCCAACACATTTCTTCCTGGCCTGAGAGTCCCCTTCCATCCCCTCATCCTGAAACTTCCCCAATTAGACCCAGATTCCTGAAGCCCTGAGCCTCTGGAAGTAAAGAAACGTCATGAGGACACACCCTCCGCCCAATCTATCCCTAATCCACCGATTTCTCAACCTTCTGTTTGTATGAGAGGGAGCATTTTTAAAACACACCTCACCCCAGACAATGAATTCAAAGCTCTTAGTAAAAATCTGCATTTGTAATAATCTTGCTGGGTAATTCTGTGGTTGCGAATCCTCGGAAGTGTTCCTCCTTCCCTCTCAACGCCTCCTTTAGCCAGCCTAATCCTCCACTGCGGCTTGATGCTCCCTGGCTCCAAGGCAAAAATAGCCAAGGATTCCTAATTCCGGTGTCCCTGCTCATCCGCGTGTACAGTCCCATTCACAGCGTGTATTTAAGTAGCTAAAACAAGATGGGCAGCAATTGGGCAGCATTGGTCACGTGTCATACTTTTTGACCCAGAGAGTGATTCCAAGGACCTCTTTTATGGGTCCTTAAATTCCAGAACCCCCTCTGCACTGCACTCTGGGTGATCTCATCCAGTCCCATGACTTATTTTTTTAATGTATTTTTATTGATTTCAGAGAGGAAGGGATAGGGAGAGAAACAGAAACATCAATGATGAGAGAGAATCATTGATTGGCTGCTTCCTGCACGCAGGATTGAGCCCGAAACCCAAGTATGTGCCCTGACCAGGAATCAAACCGTGACTCCCTGGTTCATAGGTTGGTGCTCAACTATTGAGCCACACTGGCTAGGCCAGTCCCATGACTTTAAATGCATCCATAGGTGATAACTCCCAAATGTGGATCTCCAGCTTTGACCTCTTCCCTAAACTCCAGAGTCTGTATCAGGCTCCTTATTTGACATCTCCACTTGGATGACTAATTGGCAACTCACACTTAACCCTTAATTTCCTCTTCCCCCCATCCCAAATCTGCTTCTTCCTCATCTCAGTAAATTACACCACCTTCTACTTCTTCACTGAGGCCATCCTTGTTTCCTCTTCCTCTTACCCCCTCCCCACACAGAGCCAGTTCATCAGCAAATCGTACCAGTTCTGTGTCCTAAATTTATGGCAACCAGTTACTACTTCTCTCTGAACTAGGGGTCGGCAAACTACTGCCCAGTGAAGCAGACAAATCCAGCATGCAACCGCCTGTTTCTGTATCGCCCGAGGGCTAAGAAGGATTTTTACATTTTTAGAGGGTTCAAAAGAAGGAGGAGGAGGTGCCAGACAGAGGGGAGGAAAAGGAGGTGCCTTAGTGTATGTGGCTCACCAAACCTGAAATATTTATCTGATCCTTTACCAAAAAGTTTGCTTCTCTCACCTACACAACTTCCCTGTAATCATGTTCCTTAATATACCTTGACTGTAAATATTTTTTAAAATGTAAATCAGGCCCTAGCAGGTTTGGCTCAGTGGTTAAGAGTGTCGGCCTGCGGACTGAAGGTCCCGGGTTCGATTCCAGTTGAGCACATACCTCAGTTGCAGGCTCATTCCCCGGCCCTGGTCAGGGAGTGTGTGGGAGGCAACCAATCGATGTGTCTCTTATGTTGATGTTTCTCTCTCTGTCTCTCCCCCTCCCTTCCACTCTCTCTAAAAATCAATGGAAAAAGATCCTCAGGTGAGGATTAACAAAAAAAAAGAATCTGACCAATCAAAATACAGCCCAAATACCTTACCACAGTCCAAAAGGCAACAGTGGTCTGGCTCCTGCTCTAATCTCAGTGACCACTTCCTCCCACCACACCCAGCCGTTCAATCTCCAGGCTTTCCAAACAGGTTAAATGTCTACCTGCATCAGGGCCT